TCGCGGCGTGGGTGGGGCTGACAAGAATAGACTACATTATGCAGTTCATTTAGTTAACAAGTGAAATAATGGGGAAGCGTGCAGTGGGAATGCCGAGAGAAAGGCACAAAACCCTATTGAGCGTAACCGTCACATGGCCGAACCGAGTCCACGCAGCTATTTAAACCCCGCGCTGAGCGTTCAGCACCACTTCGCTGTCCACGCCTCGAGGGCAACACTTCTCTGACGCACGACAGCATCTTTCCACGCGCTTACCTGCAAAACTACAAGTCTGTAACAATGCCTCGCTCTTTCCTCGTGGACTCTTTGATTCTAAGAGAAACTAATGACAAGGGGAGCGAGAACAACCCTCCGCTCTTTCCTTATGCTGTGCATTCTCCGCACCACCCACACGCACTGCCAGGAGCGTGCCACTCGCGGAAAGCCGGGCTGTTGTGCTTCTGTCCGCTGTGCGTCACCGCCACACAGCTGCACCCGTCACCGCCGGCACTGCCGCTGCTGAAAGCGTCCTTCTCTCCGTTTGGCTCCCAGTATTGCCCCTCTGCACTGTCCCGCCACTCCACGAGTAACAGCGTCAATCTGAGCCACGCGCCCGGCCTCTACCAGGCGACCTACTCGGTACCAGACCCTCGCCAGTTCCACTGCATCTCCATCGGTAAGTAAAACCTCAACACTGTTCCTTTTTCAGTGTTGTTAGTTTTGTCAGTATGGCTCTAAGTAAGTGTTTTTGTCACAGAAAGCAGTAACGGAAAACTTCAGAGCAGCAAGCGCATGCGCACAGCCTTCACCAGTACACAACTTCTGGAGCTGGAGCGCGAGTTCACTTCCAACATGTACCTATCCAGACTGAGACGCATCGAGATCGCCACGTACCTGAACCTGTCTGAAAAACAGGTGAAGATTTGGTTCCAGAACCGTAGAGTTAAGCACAAAAAAGAGGGCAAGAGCAGTGGCCCACGGACTGGTTCTCATAACTGCAAGTGCTCCGCGGCGAGATGCTCAGAGGAGGAAGAGGACGACATGCCCGTCTCTCCATCCTCATCAGAAAAAGACGACGTGGACTTGTCTGTGTCCCCTTGAGCGTCTCTTACAACTCCAGCACTTGTTTTTAAAGTACCAAAAAAGACTGCTCATCTGTGGTCAGTCGCTTGTATATAAACAGAGATTTTTCTAATCAGGGTTTGTCCTGAATATTGTATAGATGTATACACGTTGTACGCTTTGTATGTAGTTTTTTCTGAAAACTGTCAAATTGTTGTTGCCAATCCAAGGCACATTTGTAAAAAAACAAAACAAACAAACCCAAATTATAGAGACAACAGTGTTGTGAATATTATGGGCTACACATGTATTTTGTAAAACGGAGTTTTGCGTTAAAAGGCTCCGACAAAAAATTGAGAGTACGCCCATGCTGTCAACGAGACAAATCTCAAATTATATCTTCAATGTGATGGAATAATATTTATTTATTTAAAATGTTGATGAATAAAATATTTCTGAGTTGTAAACAATCTGGTCTCAGTCTTTACGCACTATTGTGGTACACTCTTGAGCGCGTAAAACTATGCGTATTTAATGACGCTGCAAAATAAATAGCCCCTAAGACAAAAATGTTATATACAGTATTAATAGTACCAATATAGTTATTATTGATAAATGTCAATATTAAGTGCCTAAGTACTTATTGGATTTATGTGCATATGTATCACTTAACTCAAGTTCAGTAAAAATCCACGGGGATCAAGTTAACAGGATAATGATGATGATAATGATATTTATGTTCTTTAAAGCTTAGAAGTAGGTTTAACCACTGGATCAAGACGCAGCTGGATTTTAAAACATTCACTGCGTAAAAGTCAGGGCACATAAAGGCTGCGGGGTCGTTACGCGCGTTTCTCACCGGGACACCAATTCTGTCTTATACAGAGGGACCACTCTGTTTAAGTGATCCGTCTCGTGTGACTGGCCTCATAATGACTATAAGCTTGTATAATGTTGAGTGCATCTCTAGATATTGATCTTACATGAAAATAAATGAGGGACAGAAACGGCTTGGTGTCAGTGACCTGCATTGTTCCGCTGTCAGCTCTACTCTCAACTCGATGCACTACTTTATTGACACCTAAGTGAACTCTGCCGAGAAGACATTTTCACAAATACGATCACATCTTTAAAGATACAAAAGACAAAACAAGATTAATAATCTCGTCACTGATCCCAACGCCATTCAAATCCAGGGGCAAAAATGCTTGCTCCATATCACTTTTACTCATTTTCAGAAAATATTATTATATGTGTGAAAAATGTGTTCACATGTTTGCAGTTTTCTCACAGCACTTAAAATGAAGTCTACACTTGTGTTCATGTCGACTGCAGTGTTGTTTAGAATGTTACAGAACTTTATTGCAGAAGCGCATTGTTCATTTCTACATGTATTTTACGCACTGCCCTTGCTGCACCCCGAGTAATACTTTTTACTCAGAATAGTATTTATTTGAATTAGAATGTTGTAAACAATGTTTATATCACCAAAGTTTATGGCTGAATTATACTGAAGGATGGAATAAGACCGTTATATGTTGTACATATTGGTGGCATTAGCGTGCCTTTTCCGGACGCTCGATTCCATTTGCAAGTTTTCAGTTAATGTCAACTAAACGATTTTTACAAACCTCTAATATTTGCATCTGATTAGATATATGGGATTAGACCATTTTGTTAATTGCACCATAAAGCTCCATTTTGCTCACAACGCACTGTGCAAAGCGCCCTTTATCCGCTCAATAGCCTGGGGGTATGCGCCCTGGGGGAGCTTATACGCTCCTGCTCCAAATGCTCAAATTATTTATTCTTAATTTTGTGACGATCAATTCATTGAAGCAAAAAGGACTACGGTGTCTTTTAGAAAAGAAGAAAAGGGGATTGTGGACGTAACCTTGACGGAGCAGAGAAGGGCTCCCCTGACGCTGGAGAGCCGCTTGAGTCAACAGGCGCCCATCTAGCAGACTCGCCCTTGTCTTTATTCGCCCTAATTTTTTATTTACGGCTTTTCTTTGACATGTCTCTTATCTATCAGATTAAAAGAACAGCTTGTAACAAATCAGTCTGCACGATTTACAACAGCATTAAAAGGGGACAAAGGGAGCAGGCAGTCAGTACCTGAGAGTCTGGTAGACGGCGCGGCGCTGCAGCTGATTCGATGGTTTGAAAATACGCACGAAACAAAATACTTGAATCCTGAAAAAGAGCCTTTGTACGTTTCTTTAGAAATCAAGCAATTCTGCATGACAAAGGACAATTAATAAGCCGTCTTTTCACGACCAGCAGCTGGTTTCCCCGTCAAGGAAAGTTGGAAAAAATTCAGACTGAATGCGCGCAAAAGCCCTTTGCGCGCAGACAGCAACCCAAGGTGACCCATTTGGCACAGTTAAAATAACCAAGCCGGAGTAAAAGCGAGGGAACTGTCAAAAACATTTAAGCTGAAATATCTTGAAATTGCAAATCCCTTTATGTGGAGGGACGCTGCCGATGTGGGTTAGTGGTACAAAGGAGGTGGTTAAGTTGGAGAGGCTTTGGAAACGGACACGTGGCTTCTCAATGAGAGCTCTTTTGGATCCGCGTGGCTTTCTGTGGCACTGCACACTCACTCAGTTTAAACTTGTCCTGCTCAGTAAAGACTCCTTGCTTTGTTAACCATTTACGTGATCAAAATGTATCTATATTTTAACCACTTTTGAATTATTTTTATTTTGACAATTCTAATCCACATAAGATATTTGCTTCAACTTTCCATTCATGGCAGGACATATTGTGGGGTTACTCAAACTTTTTGGCCAACAATTAGCATTTTTTTTTTTGTTAAACATTTTACTTAATTTTCTTTTGCGCATCTTTTAAAAGGAATTTATTACAAATGCTGTTGTTTCATGTCTGTATTCTTCAGCTGCAAATATACAGTAAACTCGGCAAATAGACACAATCCTTTACTCATCCAACTTTAACTGTGGCATGTTGACCACTTCCCATTATAAATCCGTTAGTGTCTTAGTTCTTTAACACAAGAACTTTAAGCTGTATGATGTGTTAAACAAGTCATGAGTGATGGGAGATGGAGTGGCACGCAGCTTTCCCCCTCTTCGTCTTCTAATTGAATATTCAACGCGCGCACCGTGCCTCGCCTCGCCTCTGCGTGCCTTTTTCAGTGTGTGCACAGAATACGCCTTTTAATTCTCGGCCCATACACTGCCGTGTCAGAGGTCGAAAAATAATGAACTGCGCGCACATGGAAGTCACCCCACCCGTCACCAAATCTAAATGGAACTGTTTGCGCATACTGTTCTAAAACGGTATCATATCACATGTTGGCATGTGATGTTGGCATTGACGTCTACATTGCACAAAGTTTAATTTTCGCTCGCGGTTGTTAAATATAGAGAATAGACTGTGCGCGTTAATGAGTTTTGGATGCGTCTTGTGATCATTTGGTAGGCCTATTTTAAATTGGTAATTTTAATAAAGACAATATAATATAGCCCAATAAATGGCAGTGTATATATGGGTTTTTGAAGTGCAACGTCACACAAATAGCATACAGTTGTGGGTGATGAGCTCACAAACGTGCCACTGCCATGGTCTACAGATTAAAAGACCATCGAAATACCAACATTTCTTCACGGAAAGGCGCGAATCTCACGCAGAATGTTACACAAATAATATTCTAAGGGTTTTACTGTTGTGCATTGTTCTCGTTAGATACTGAATATGTCATTAGTGGAGTTTCTGGACTCTCCAAGTTCGACTCTGTCTTTTCATGAGCTACAGTCTCAAGCAGTGTGGAACAGGAGCACCATCTGCTGGTAGCAATCGATAACAAAATTTTGCAGGGGCGTAGTAGCTTCACCCAAAGGGTTCTACTGTTCAGGGCATTTTAAGAATTAATGGGAAAGGATGGGGCCTTTTAAATAAATATGTTGAAAATACATTTTAATGTTCAAGTTTTTACAAATTTATTATAATCTTTCCAACAATACTTTTTTAACAATATGTATCAATTTGCAAATCATACAGAGTTGGCCTACAACATAATTTACAGTATGAACACGAAGCTTTAAAACGTGGAATAAACACTGGTAACACAGTCATTCGTAACACATTTGATCCTTTAACCCTTTGATACATCTTTTAAAAAGCACACACTTACCCCTGTCACTGAGCACCATAAATACTCGTGTTCTGCCACACCACACGCATTCACAAATACTGCGTTGAATGAAAAATATAATCAAAACATATGTTAAAAACCTTCAGTAAACTCTCTGTAAACCACTCTCCATAAGACAATTTATCGTTTATATTGAAATTATTTTAGGAATAAATACTACATTTATGGTCAACACAATATCTTAAAACCTTAGCAGTTATTGGGCTTGTTTTCAGTTTATGTGAATGATAAATGACAATTATGGAATTACATTAAATACAGTGGACTCCTATAAACAAGAAACATTTTCCCAGTGTTGAAAGATAACTATTTTGTTGCTTTAGATAGATGATTTAACAAATCCTTAGTATTAGCATTACTAATACTTTTAAGTAACTCACTGACCAACATACAACTTAAGATTCATGTAGTTAAGTATAAATAATGAATACAATGGACATGTTTGTATAGCTTCATCTGGATAATAATATAGCAATGGATGATCTCAGTACTTTTGCTTTGAAGTATTACTAGGATCATTATAATAATTCAATACAATCAATATTCCTCTGCAATTGAGAACCTAGTCCCTTTAGAGGGGATATCAAAGTCTAAGGAAATGTTTTGTTACTAAATACTGGATTTAACATTTAACATGTACAGGTGTAGGAGGAGGGGGCATATAAAATAAAACTGCAGCTAAAACTAAATGATCATTTTCAAAATGTCCACTGTAGATCATTCACTTTTTCAAATAGTATAGCATACATAGTAAACCATTGTTGTTTTTGATTATTTCAAGTTCATACATTGTTGGAAACCATGTTGCAACCTTGATATGTTTTCTCTACACTACTCAAATCAACAAACTAAATAAATTGTGCAGATCCATTGACATATATAGTTCTGCAGCTCCTCCCAGTATTTCCTGATACAAATTGTATACAATGTAGTTGTGCAGTCACTCAATCTGCCTATGGCTCCTGTTGTCAAAGATCATGGACCTCCTTTGTGGTTGATAGAAGCAGCTGGTTGAGGTCTCTAGTCTCTGTCCACTTTTTGGAATAGTCATTTTGTTTTGTACTTGTTCGGTCGTCTTGTAGTTCTCGGCTGATGTGTCATTGAGACTTTTGATGGAGGAGAGTTTCCCGTCATCGCCAGAGGAGGGGTAGTCCATGATGGGAAATGGTGGGCTCAGCAGGATCAGACTTTGAGGTCTCTGTCTGTTCCTAAACGAGGATCTCTGTAGAAGGTTGGACTTGTTTGGACGAGGAGTGTCCACAAACACCTCCAGACTGGGTGTGTGTCGCCGTGTTATGTCCGGTAACTCTGCTGCGGGCTCCATTGTCTTCTCCACGTGAGCAGCTTTGACAGGCTTAGGCGCTGGCTCTTTGTTTTCCAGTTCCTCTTTCAGTTCAGACATGACAGGTGGAAGCAGTGCATTGGTTTTCTCTTTCACACATTCCTTTTCTTCTTCATTCACTTTTTCTTTCTCAAGTCTAGAGTGAGGTATCTGGCTGTACTGCACTTTTGGAGGGACCACGGGCACAGCTTTGGCCTGGCAGGTTTTTATCATGAAGGCTGTGCGCACTGAGGACACACTGACAGGAGCTGAGTTTCTGCGCAGTGGTGCCTGATTATCATTCAGAAATAAATCCAGCTCAGATAAGCAGTTATTTACAATCCCTGGCTGTATCCCCTTTGAGCAAAACTCTGATGAACTAAGGTTTTGCTGGTTTGAAATGTCCCTAATGCAACGATATCCCAAATCAAGATTAAGTGAGTAGGGTCTGTGTCGTGAAGTTGTGTTTTCCTCTTTTTTGTCCAAAGCAGCCGCCTCATGAGACAGTTGCCTGTGAAACCTTTGACATGATGCTGTATTCTTGTGTTTACTTGAGATGTGAGACTTGTGAGCTTGTGTTGTGCTGCCTATCCTTGTTGGCACATACATCCATTTAGGATCTGGTTTAGTGGCTGGAGGAAAATTCCCAGAGAAGCTCTTTGTCAGAATGGTTTTAGTGGACGATTTGTTGATGTCTGGTAGTGCTGATGAACTATTGCTTTCCTCTGGGACTGTAGCACCCCTCTCTGACCAGGGCTTTGTTGACAATTGCTTGATAAGCTCCTCCACATCTGGGGAGTGCAATGGACTGGTCACCCATTGTTTGGCTGAGTTCAGATCATCCCAAGGCTCCACCAGGTCTAGCTCTTCTGCATGTCCGTCTTCATCCTCCAACTCCAAAATACTCCTCCTCTCTTCCACACATACTGAAAGCCTCGGTGTGCTATCAAGTTCAAGAACAAGGTTTTTCCTGAGTGACTCTTGTGATAGACTGCTGTTTTTGTGAGGAGGCACTGTAGGAATTTCCAATAATTTGTGAGTTGAAATATCATCTTGACGTAAAGGAGGTGAGTTTTCTGTCACACTATTGTTTACAGCTATTATTTTTGGAGGTGGTTGATTGGGTTTCTCTGTTTCATTAGTGATTTTAGATGGCTGTATATTTTCTATACTACCACCTACAACTACATCAATGTCTTTACGCAGAGAAAACAATAGGTCCGATTCTGAGGGCTGTTTCTTGGCCGATTCTGACCCAGCCTTCTGATGGTTCAGTGATGACAGTGAGGACATTTCTTTACATAAGAGTGTCAGAGATGGAGAGCTTTGGCTGCGTTTGGACTTGACATCAGGATTCAGTTTCAAACCATCGAAGGATTTCTGTGTCCCAAAAACAGGTTTAAAAGTTTCATCCAGTAGCTTGATTTCTGGTTCACTTATCTTTAGCTCTGGACGGAGGTCAGACAGATGTCCTTTCTCAATGGAAGATACAAGTTCCTGTAAAAAGAATAAGTTTAGATCAGAGCTTATGTGTGCTTTTATTTGTGAGACCAACTATGACCGTTTTGAAACACACTGTAATACAAAGGTGTCACTGGGTACATTTACATGGCCTGTAAAATCTGATAATTTGAATAGTAAATTAAGCCAATAATTAGATAAAATGTTCTTGCATGTTCAAAAATACCTGGTGACATGTGTCAGTTAACTGTTGTATTTGGAAGACAAAGTCAAATTCATTTGAAAATAACTCTTTCAGTCTTAAACATTTTCTATTTCTTTTTGTCTGTAGCTCATTAGTCTGACCTTTTTTGAATAATTTTCTTTGTCAAAACCTGCACAGATGTAAACAGTCATACACCTGATCCAACACTCACATTTCCATAATCGGAACCCTCTGGGAAATCAGGCAATGATCAGATTTTTTTGGTGTGCATGTAATCAGAAAACAAAAGCAGTTTTTACCAGTTTCTTAGGAGTAGATTGAATGTGCAGATCGTCTCCACAAGAGGGCACCCTCTGCCCTGCACTCCCACTGAAGGAGTCTTCAGATTCACTTCTTTGACTCCGAAGTGATCCATCATTTCTTGAATCTGAATTAAAAAAAAAAAGTTCTTATTAGTTTTTTCCTGAAAAGAATTGAAGGCTTTTAGTTAAACAGTATAAGATAGCTCACCCTCTGACTGGATGGAGCTGCCCTCTTCTCTGTTGACCATCTCTGTCTCTTCCTGCCTCTTGGATTCCTGTTGTGTGACAGAGCTGCTCTTTCCGCTGATGCCCGGCTCAGGGATCTTTTTGGCCAGAGTCCTGCAGGGGGTACTGTTGGAGCTGATGACGGCAGACACGCGCAGAGGCACAGACACAGCGAAAGGTTCAGAGATGTTGAGAGCCCTCCGCTGGTGTCGTGGAGAGGACTCCAGTGGGAAGAAGCTCCCGGGGAACGAGGGGCGCGAGGAGGAGCTGTGGGATGAGTACAGCGTCCTCCTGCTTTTAGGAGAAGTGGGCTGGAACCCTCTCATGTCCTCTCCTTTGAACACCTTCAGCTGCTCTGGCAGTGTCTTTTGTGTGGGCAGTGAGGTCCCCAGTGGACTGTCTTGGTCCATGTGAGCAGTCCATCCTGCTGTAGCTCCGCTGGCTCTGATCCCTTTAATCTCCCAGGTGGGTTCATCCTCACTCAGGTCAAACAGACAGTCTGAGCCCAGAGTCCGAGACTTAACATCTGGAGCAAAAATGCTGCCCGGTCCAACAGGAACACGGCCTCCAGTTCTGTCATCATCTGGTTATAAAACAGCAGATGTGAATCATATGTTTGAGAGACTTTATACAAATGTATCATGATTTAGTTTTACCCGTCGGTAAAGAGCACAGTGACTCCATGCTTCTGGATTTTCTGCCTTTAGCCTTTTCTGTTATGAAAATAATGGGTACTTTAATCATATTGTATTTAGATTATTCATAATGGCATTTTCACTTGTTTCAAAACATTTTAATTTATTTATTAACTAATATAATTCAAATAATATGCCTCCTCTTCTTTTTGATAAACTATGCAAATACTGTATATGTATATTTTATATATATTGTATTGTAGGATAAAATACTCAGAAAACCTTTGCTCAACTTTATAGGCTTGATAATTATATAGTATACAGAGGTATAGGAGAGTAGTAACATCATTATGTTCTTCTATACCTGTGATCCCTTGTCCTCTGATGAACACACTGCCATTGCGGCTCAGTTTTCCCTTCGAATCCACAGATCTTCCCAAATTAAAAATTGATTTCCACTTTTTTGATTTTCCAGAGAATTTCCTCCTGAAGAGAGATGGCACATGTTAAACATCTAATCTGGAAAACTAAACAAACAACAAAATGGATTGTTTCCGTACTTGCTGTCTATGTCGATGACAGTGTGGTAGAGCTGGGCAATGCTGGGGTCAGGCAGGCTGTTCTCTCTCTGACGTTCTTTATGCACAGGATGGTTTGGACTTAAGGACCGTGCCTGAGCCTCCTCCAAACTCATAAGTTTCATAGGTCCAGAAGGTCCACTGATGGGCAGAGTGGCGTACTTTTCCCCACACATTAAACCTAGAGCATATTCATTTATAGTGATGATCTTTTCCATAACTGTATGTATAGATTACAATATAATGTTCTGAACCTTACCTTCTTTGGGTTTCATTTGGAGGGAAACACCATTGAAGATCTGCTCTGTATGGTTGAGGATAAACTCAATGACTGACTGCTGAACTCTGACTTCTTGGAACGCCATGTCCCCATTACCAGAAGAAACCTCAATATCTTTTGACCTAAATTACCACAGTTATGAGAGGTTTGGTCAATCAGTCTTTATGCTTCTACAGAGACTAGTGATGTATCAGTTTTTACCTGAGCAGGTTGGGAGCCCACACCAAAGCCAAGTTTCTTGTGTGCATGTTTGTCTTTGAGCTTAAGGTGGCGAGGCGGGCCAGGTGCTTAGTCAGGTACTCCAGGGTCCTGTGGATCAATCACAGTTCCTCTCTAACATAGTCTTCACAGAGTCTTTACAAAGGCACTCTATGTTAATAGTGAGATGTGTAAACTGAAGTAGTGTGAATTGAAATAGTGTGAACTGTACCTGAAATGAGCATTTGGCAGTTCTTTGATGACCTTCTGGATGCGGGCAAGTTTCTCATGATCCCCCTGGACTGAAACTGCTTCCTGTAACAAATACGCACAGATACATTCATTTTAATTATGTAAACAATAAACATTTGAGACCAATAACTTATATAAAGTTAGCATATAAGAACCTAAGTCGCATGACAAAATAAAGACTTTTCATTGACATCAGAATATACCACACTTGACCTTTAGTCACAGGAGGTATGAGTTTTATCAGCTTTCCCCTCTCTTTGGTCCACATTGCCTGACATTTCCTCCAACACTGCAGTTCTGTTCTCAGGCAGGAGGCAGGCACGAGTAGCATGAGAAATACTGTATAAATGCCCAGATATGCAAATGACCCGGGTAAGTAAACAGAGAGCTCCACAGTGCAGCATTCCTGTTGCTCTCCCTCTGTGGACCCTTTCACATCTGCAGGTAGACTATGAAACGAGGCCAATGTATTAAGTCTACATTTATTGACGCTCAGAACAAGTTACAGAGGAAATATTTTCCTTTGCTCTGCGTCCGCAGATCTCATATTGCTACAGTACATGCATGTCATAAATTCACTATAGATTGATTTGGATACTCACTGTGAATTTAGTGTAGAGCTCATACGTGAGCAGAGGATTGGGAAGCTCCCTGAAGTACAGCTTACATAAGGAACCCACACAGTGGATGTCCTGGAGGTACACTTCCTTAGTAAGGTCAGGGCAAGCGTCAGAGCAGAATTCTTGCCTATATCCACACAAAAACACACAGAAGCGTGAATGATTTGCCCATTAAACACATTAAACCATAAACACTGGCTTAGAAGGAAAAAAAAGTGGAAAATAACTGTTCAAGCTGTCATTAACTGTACAGAATCCAGACTGAATCAGTAAATAGAAGCTTTACTCATTTACATAATAATTTATTTTAAAATTGAACATTTCAGTTAATACGCACAAATTTTCAGATATTGTGTTAATTTATCCAAAATAAGAGGTTTTTGAATTTGATGGTATTATCATCAAATTGTTCTTTTCTGTTATATTTTTCCTCAAATAACCTCTTGAATGTTGTTACTTACAGTAGTTGCTTTTGTTTAAGTGCAATATTACAAATTAATTTTGTGATTATAGAATGAGATACATATTCAGCGCAAACTACTGCCATAGGAAAGGTTCCTGTCTAGTTCTTTGGTTCATTCTTTACATTATTAGAGATGTAGGAGACACCATCCAATTAAGCCTTTACTAAGCTTGAAAAATATAATTGAAAAAGTCAGCCCATTTTAATGACATCCACACCCATGTAATGTGTAGTGCATAACTTAATTTAGACCAAAAATAACTCAGAAGTTTCAGTCATTTCTCTTATTTGTAGCGGTGCACTAAGTGACTTGTTCTTTGATTTTACCTGAGACGCTGAATGTTTGATGTGACACCTGACAGTCTGTAGATCCCATCCACAACGCCATGTTTCTCTATGAACTCTGCACACTTCTTCAGGACCTGAGGAACTTAAGACAAATATATACAGTACATTAATACTATTGAAATGTATAAGTAGTCAACAGCTGACTTTTTAATTTGCAGCGTATTTAGCCAGTCTTCAATTCTCTGTTGTACAGTTGGGGAAACTATTGCATATGTAATTGTACTCTATGTGTACAGGACTGTCTTGCTCTCTACTCCTGAGGCCCGTGATTGTAGGTGGACATTGGCAGGAAGTTAAAAATGGTTTGTTTGTTTCAGAGGAAGGCTGACACACCCAGCCCTTGTAGCCGGTATTACTTACGACATTTCCTCTAATAGAAAAGTGCTTTTGAAATCTTAACCACTGACCCACACAACAGCCCCTCGGTATATCAGATTTAGCGCTCAAGTTTGTTTAGATTCAGCCAGTGATTTACGCACTGATTCTGGTCTGGCCACAACTTCCTCTTTCTAGCACCCAAAATAATGATCATGTATTACTAAATATGGGAAGGCAGGAGGATGTTGAAAGTGTGAATCATTGACAGTGAAACAATGCTGATATAGACAGTGGTTGTCATGGTGACGTCATAAAGATGTTGAAACCTGAATGCATGCGGATTGTCAGTTTAATGTCACTATGTTCCTCTCCAAGGGGAAATAGATAGCTCTGTAACAAGGCAATGCATTTAGTTAAGCATTTCTTGGAACTACTATTGCTGTTATACTGGCCTTTACTTCAATATACTCTGTGACCAAATAGGTATGATCATTTTGGTGTAGAAAGGAGGAAGAAAGGAAATATTTGTGTATTTGTAGCTCAGTAGAACCACTAAGATAAGCTCTCTCTGAACTGACAGTACTTACTTTTACTAAATGAATGAATGCTGTTCTGTCTGGACTGTATATCTTTTCCTCAAAGAACACAATGATAGTTTACTCTTTCTCTTAAAATATTCCCAATTATAGCTGACAAACACAGAGGACGGATCGCTCTAACACATAGAAAATAGCTGTCAAATCCTTTTTAAGTAAGCTCTGCGTGTAGTTGGAGACTAATTCACTTACAGACAGTAAATACACATACAACAGTAAAAGGGATAATTTTCTTAACCTAAGCAAGTCATTTAAAACCCAGTGTAATTTCTCCATAATAACTGCAGGGAATCTACAGCACTTACATTCTCGTGAATTAGGTTTAATTAACAGTTTCGGTGACGTGCCTGTGGTCTAACCCCGATGAGCAGTCCCAAACATAACTTTTACTGCCTCTGTTTGTTGTTTAAGCTGAGATGGACTGCTGCTCTGTACAAAGTGAACAATGTGGGACAGATAGGAGCTGTTTGTGAGTTCATGATGGTGAATGGGGAGGTTGCAGCTACTTCTCAGTGGCTGACTTTACAAGAACTCTTCTCTTGTCTGGCTTTATTTACATTCCTATAAACTAGAGAATAGAGCTGTTTGTTTTAACATTGTTGTATGTGCTGAAGCATTAGGAGTCTGGGTTCAATCTAAGGCCATATTTATCATAAAACTGCTTAGATCAGATAATGTCAGGCCAAGTTAAGCGTTATTATCTGAAAGAACACAATACTTTGAGCATCAGTTTTACGCAAATGATATGTAGTACTTTTTAAATGGGCAAACCAGTACATTACAACAATTTAACTGTAGTATTTAATTAGTATGATTGATATATTTGGGAAATGGTCTAATAGCAATGGCTTTATTATTAACGGTTGTAATGTACATTAATGGAGGATTTCATTGGCTGTTGAAGGCAAGAGTGTCAGAAATAGTACACATTTTTGGCATTATATGTCATACTCTGCTTAAATGTGTTTTCTCAGATTAAACAGAAATAAAAGGAGGAAAGTTTTCCTGTGTTGAGATGTACAGGAGATGCTCTAAACATATATAAAAACATATATGAAAACATACCTACACATATATTGTTTTATACAGTTCATACAATTTTATGCTAAATAACTGCAAAATAGATAAAAAATAAAATAAAATATTGTAAACTAAGACATAGCTTTCAGTTTTGTCCCAAATAATGAAGGTTCTATTGTCTGATCTTTATGCATTATATAAACTGATATATCAGTATCAGTGGTGAAGGGACTACATGTCTGCTGGACATCCACCAAACTGGAGCACAATGGGACACCTCCTCCCTCACTTCCTGTCCCGCTCGCCCTGCCTCTTTCTCTCTGCTCATGTCCACCAGGTCCAGCGGCCTCTTCCTTAAGTTATTTTCAACCCTATTCATTCAGCCTGTCACTGCACATTGTCATTTTATCGTTTTCAGGAAATGCTGTCAATGTTAAAAAGGTAACAGCCATTGTATGCTTTGGAGGATCTAATTTGAAATAACTTTTTTGCTCTTCTCATCCATAGTCACCGCCCAGTCTTTTCTCACTAACACATAATAGTCAATATAATGATTTAAAATGTGAGAGAGCCCCACCCAGTCATATATGAACTTTTAATCCTGCCGCTGGGAGAATGAATGAGCGTGCATAAACTAAAACACATGTATTTCAATGCAGTGTAAGCATTTCCACTGGACTAACCTATACTGACTACTTAACATTTCTTCCAGTATTTTGAAGCAAAGTACAATTACATAATGATCAATGTTGTATGTTCTTCTAAACTGGTCTACACAGCTTTTCAGGGTCTAACTAATATTAGATATATATTATATAATATAACTAAGTCTATTAAATTCTTTACCATCTTGTCCTGTGCTTTGTAGATGCTCGATCAAGTCACAGCCGAATGCATTGTCAATAGCCTTCTTTTTAGACTTCTGCTTGGATGCCTTATTCCTCATGTGTCTTCTCTTAGCTCTCCCAATGACAAAAAACTGTATATCCTTTCCACAGATCCATATGTTAAAATGAATTGATCAAAAGTATTGAAAATCCCAGCTTTAGACTCCTGAAAAGCTTTCATCCACTCCCAGTTTGTCTTCAAAGTGACGTCATGGTCCCAGCTTTACTTGGAGATAGTTGTGATCATGATCTTTTGATGGTAGTTTGTCAGTATAGGACGTGGCAGTGCTGTGCTGTTCCTCCGAAGGCTTCAACAGAAACAACATTGGACTGGCTCGGAGTTTCCTGTTGTTTTTTTAGCCCCAGTTCAGTCGCCCTGCTCAGTTTTATCTCCTCCTCTTTCCCTTCTCTCTCCCAGACACACAAGCGCCTTTCACAGCTGCACAGAACCACCACACACACTGCAGCAGCTCCATAGCTCCACTCAGGGCCAACAGTTTTATTAGTGTAATATAGGCAGCATGAAATTAAATGTGTATAAATTTATGTTCATATATTATTTTTTCTGAATGCTATAGTTTTCTCTATAACAATATGAATGTTGAAAATTTCCAGTGCAGACTATTTACTTAGTACTTACAGAGCATTACTTACACTTACACTTACAAGCGTGTATTTTGATCATACCATTTGTATCAAATGAAAATAGTCTTTTGCATAATTAAAAACATATACAATTTCAAACAATATCACATACATTTCCAATGAATAGCAAGAAGTAAATGATGTAACTTCCAACCCTATGGACTTTCAATGTTATTGTAATAGTGAATGATCCTACCCAAACAGCCACCCTTGTACATCATCTGCTGAATCTATGGTGGCAAAACTTTTGATGGGAAAGTCAAAATCCTAAGGTGCCTTTCCTGAATGCTCCCTATGTGTATGGTTTCCTGTTGGGACCCAAAAACAAAAACACACAGAGGTTCGGAGGGAAGTGGGAGGTGACTGGAGCAGCGGGCTGAAGGGCACAGAGGGGAAATATGGGGGAGGGCAGGGGGAGAGGGGGGCGAGGGTGAGGAGACCCGCGCCACATGGTTCTTGTTAGGAAGAGCTATGCATTTGTACATTTTTGAAAGCATGACGTCATTAGCCAGACTATTTCAGGGTGCGAGTGAGGGTAATGAATCAGTGTTGCAGGTTTGAGACTCATTTTGGGCGTAACTGGCTCTTTAATAGACTGGACCATTCTCAAAGGAACCACCAGCCGAAATGATTAATCAGATTATTTCATGCAAAGTTATCTGGAAGGCCACGAAGTTGAATCAACATCATGAAAAACAACTTGGCCCAACTAAAAAGCACTATGAAATAATATCCTAACAGCCATTTAAACTAAACCAAAATAGTTATTAGTGAGATTAATTGTAAACAGCTTTTGTTACACCCATTTAAGTGGTACAGAACTATAGTGTTATTATGTTAGTGTATCACTGGTGTGCTAGAGATGCATGCATATGTAATAGGGATACACTGATCCAGCTTTTTCAGTTCCAAATATCAAATTCCAGTACTATAGATTTAAATATCTATTGATACCTGATATCAGCTGATACCAGTGCAAAGACTGACTTGACAGCATTTATTTCTTTAAAAAAAAAAAAAAAAAAACTGAAACAAATGTAGCTGGAATGTAGCTGTTATTTAACCCACAAATAGTGACAGTACAGCTGTATATAAATAAAAGCTCAAACATTAGTCTTTCAAGGCCACCTACGATCAGTAAATAGTCTTATTGGGAGCCGATAGCCAATCCCGTAACATAGGTGCATCACTCATATTACTAGGGTTGCACAGTATTGCACTCAAATCAATTATCAAATAAAAAAATCTTCATTATTTGGCAATAGAATATTCCCAGTAAACAACTAAAGCCTGTCTAACTATTTTTAGACCATGTTCTAAAATGCGTGGAATACGTATGAAATGAGGACCCTCAACAGAATCCTACTTTTACATAAATCACAAATCTAATCACAACTGCAATACTTTTTTTTATTTATCATATCTCACAGCTTTAACTATAACATCATCATAGATCAGCGGTGGTCTGGATCAGTTAAGAAACAACTGTGAAACTGTTGGTCATATCACTTTAACATCACACCATCTACAGTTTTATCACATAAATGCTGGGGACAGATTATGCCCATTGCATTAAAGTTGAAATAAAATCATCTGAATGGGGAGATTTGGTAATATGATCTAGTAATAAATAGTAGTAAATGAAATGGTCTGTTTTTACATGCCATTTCTCTTCTTAAGATTTAGACCCAAAAGTCATTAAAAATTATCATGGGACACACCGATACACAACTTTTTGGGCCTTCAGATACAGACAGACTACGTAGAGCAAGTGTGCTTAATGCATTAATAAAACACAATGGCATATGACCACAGGGTACAAAACTGTTAACACTATTTTATCACGTCTAAGTGTACAATATACAGTGGATTAGTTCTATGGATTTGTACACAGGAATTACTACCATTGTATCTCTTTATCATATTCAGTATAGTATAATATAGTATTTATATAGTGATATAATAAGACTCTCAAGGCAAAAATTATAAATATACTATGGCTGTATAAAGATGATATACATATATAAAGAATTATATATACAGTCTGTACTATGGCTATGAACAAAGCTAACTGCAAGATTCCTTACTCCTTGTCCACTACTCTAATGAAGCATTACACATCCCTCTGTGACTTACTATATCGAGCAGTGCCCCAATGGCATTTGTCATATCTGAATGGGTGAGATTGTGGAGTAGAGACTGTTCTGTTTTGTGCAGATTTGTAGATATTTGAGTGCTCCGAGTGTTTTGTGAATGTCACATGTGAACACGATGACCGGGCCTAGGCCTTGGTGGGACAAAGGGCTGTATTCTGCTCCATAGGAAGAGGAGGTGACATCATTCTGTCCATACAAACACTCAGACACCCTGCTCTTTCTCTGCACTGGTTAAAGAAATGCCTGAGCTCAGAACAAGTTTCATTGTATCTGGATAACTGGAGTTTTTATGCTACCATATGAATACATGTTCTGCATGTCTTCAACCTTATGTAATGTTTAAGTCTTGTTGTGACTAAATGTGGAAACTGATGCTAGAAAATTCATATAATGAAGATTCTGAAGAACATAGAGTGTTAATAATTAAAAATGTGCCCAACTGTAAAAACAGAAATGCATCTCTAATTCAAATTTTTCACCTTGAAAAAAGCTCATTAGCTCCCCTTAGTGGCTTTAAATATTCATACAGTCAAATTTCATGACATCTAACAAGCAGGTTATTTTACTGTTTTGTTCTGATATTCATTGGTGCAAGGCTGTCTGAGCCACTTTTGTGCAGTATATGGTTAAGTTTCGATGTCCTACAGGCCACTGATCCAGCTAAGAGCAAACTATGCATTAGAGCACCTTTAAATTCTCAGCAAAGGTCAGTGTTAGTAATTGGTTTTAAATGTTTACTGTGTACATATAGATCAGCGCTGTACAGACTAACTCCAACCACAACAAAACAGTAAAGGTTCATTAGCACAGTTAAATGAGTTTGAGGCCTAGATGTATTCATCCATAGTGTATAATGGAAGCAGACATGTCTCAGGAAAATACAATTTATTCACATTTTGTGAAAAGAGTTCTTATTAGTGAAATGTTTTAGTGAAATTTCCTTTGATCATTTTATTATCAAAGAAAATAAAAAAGAACAAACCTAAAACCCAACACCCAAACTTGCATACCAACATCCACTCTCACAAAGCTACAGGCATAATGTTAAAATCACATTCTGGAACAGAAAGTAAACTAAACTAAACAATACCACATTTGATCACCTTTTCTGATTAAAAGTATTCAGTCAGGGGTAAATATAAAATGCATATATAAATGGCATAAATCCACTATAATTTTATAGTGGATTTATGCTATTAAGATTCAAGTAGTTTTTTGAATAACTTTGTTTTTTTTTAACAAAATATAAATAATACATTCAACAGCTACAAAATTTCATATATTTAGGCGTTTCTTTCTAAGCAGCATGCAAGGATCAAAGGAATGATCATGTAAATTGTACACATTGTTTTGTGTAAAAGTAACAAAAATTTGTCCTAGATCATATCATTATATTATATATTATATATCATCATTATATCAGTTTAGTATTAAATACACTTATTCCCATCACCCGAGGTACATAAGGCTCTTTTAACATACAAATAACATATGGAGTTCAGCAGAGTTACATAACATTCCAGATGATCACAACCAGATGCTGCTTGATTCTGGCTCTACATGTCCCTCTTCAGTCAGACATCAAAAGGTGCATTTCAAATCAATGGGATATGTAAAAGTAAGAACAAAAAGAGCCATGAAGGCAGAATGTTAATAGGAATCTCATTTAGCATTTGTAAGTTAGTATAATAAAACATAAAAACAAAAAAAAAAAAAAAATAAAACAATGTAAACTCAAGTGTGACATAAATCAAAGTGACTATAAGGCATAGATTTTAAATCTATATTGAACTGCTTCTCATATATATATTTTTTCATTGGTATGTGATGGATGCAGTTTTGTAGTGACAAGAAAAAACATGTGTCAGTGTATGTGTTAAATTGTTCTGTTACCCTCTACAATAAAACAATAAAAGTTTGAGTGTTTAGGTATAAAATGTGGCATCTGAGTTCACTTGCACACTCTGTTTAAAACAAAGTAAGAAAGGTTTGGTCACAGCAGCCATCCCAGGCTAAATAAACGTCAGCTTGGCTTCCCGATGTCCACAGTTACATTCACATAAAGAGGCATCCTCTCAACAGACAGCATCTTATATGAGCAGCTATTCAGTCCGTCCTTTTTCCATACCCGAGGGGTTCGGCCCAGCAACCTCATCCTAAAAATAAAGAGAACCAGTCACGTTAACCCAATGTTTCCAAAACTTCTTTTATCAGTTCAGAGTCCTAGTTTGGCACACCTGTCTTTATTTATTTCATTTCCACTGTCCCTCTTATGGAAAACCATTGTGTAGCGAGCAATGTCAGCAGGAGGCCGCACAATTTTCATTTTCTGTAATTCCACCCTGAATACAGAATACTTTAATTACCAACAGTCACAACTGTTACCAATGTTGAAGAATATGAAGAATGTTTTACCTAATGCGAAGATCATCATCCTCTCCACCCCAGCCCCAGTAAGTGTTTGAGAACCCATTCACTTGAATAAACTGGTCTTTAGTCAGGGCTGTGACACCGCCAAAATATCCTTTATAACGCAATCTGAAAACAATGAAGAAAATTAACTTAGTTACAAATTGCTCTGTCCAGTATCATTTATAAGGTTCTAGTTGTGTATGACTTACTTGTATCCCGTTGCATTACGGCCGACCACCAAGTGTTTGGGCTGCTTGTCACACAAATATAAATTATGATCGTTTTCAGGCACCAGGTCCACGTCATGAAAAATGAAGCAGTCCCAGCTATGGTCCTTCAGAGCCTCCAAATAGCCAACATTTAGCAACTTAGCTCGGTTAAAAGTTGCATCTCCAGCCTGTAGAAAACACACAGTGCAAGAATGACCCACTGAAGACTTCAAGGTAAAAACATAAAATAATGGTGGATAGGAGGGTCAGAAATCTGGTGTTTCATGAGCCTAAAAACATGCAGTGTATTGTGCTAGCCATACCTGCTGGATGACATAGATAGCGTAGTGAAGTTGCTGGCGTTGTAGAAAGGGGTGGAGGTGGTGCAGGAGGTAGAGCAGATGTCTCTCTCTGTTTCTGTGAGGAATGAGGATGGCCACGCTCTGTCTTGCATTACACTCTTTGGGCTCAAACTCGCCCTGTGCCACTGCTTTGTTCTCACTTTCTACTTCCTTTAGCGTCAGAGAGGACTCAAATGTCAACTTCATGGCTCCCTCTATATCACGTGAAAACAGTGAAACATACACTTAAGTACAACTGTGTTTACTTGTAGCATTGCACACTGTCTTAATAACATTATTTGACTTTAAATGTTTTTATTCCACCTATTATAGTACAGTAGTAAATACTATTAAAACATTTGACAGGATGAATAGATGGCCTTGTTAGACATAAATAGATATCCCATACTTCTATCAGGACCTGTGTAAGACAAGCTGACTTATCTCAAGTTTAATTGTCTTGTTACCAAAGACAGGGAATATTACATAAATTGCTGAATAACACAATATATCACATTTTCTATGTTAGAGTTTTTTTTATGTTTTTCCATCCAACTTAGGAAAAAGACATTGTGTTCTGTTCAGAGTTCAAAACATTAGCAGACGAGGCAACAAATAACTACCAGGTGAGCTGAGCTACTCTGCAGCAGCCCTGTGGGCATGTGTTACATAAGTGGGCTTGTGTTTGGATTTTATATCACATTTCTCTAAGTTGTCTTGAAAATTTGAAAGGGCAATATTTTTAAGTTCTGTTGATTGAGGAACTTAAAAAAGCTCCAAAGTGACCACAAGATGTCACCAAATGCCTGCCATTTCACATCGCTACTGCTTCCTTGACAGCTTGTGATTGCACATCAAACCATTTTCTATGACTGAACAATAGAGTTCAGGTCTTCACACATCATATAATTTTCAGTTCTAATGTTAAACCACTAAACAATTGGTATTCATTCAAAAGTATATTGACAATTGTCTACAGAAGTAACCTAGCAGCTAACGTTTGTTCCGCGGCTCCTTTTGTTTAGTTTTTAACATTATATCATAAATTTGTTTGCTGATCTAATGGATATTGGATATTTTGTTTTTTCACCCAGTAATGTAAAGTTTTCAATTGATCTCAAGCTCTATTGCTTTAAATATTGGCAGAAATACAAAGTAAAGTAAGGGGGTGTAGGTGAACTTACTTAGAAGTGGAGACTCTTTCGGGCAGTCATGCTTTGGAGGGATTGTTGGCACATTTTTAGCCACCACTGTAGCAACTATTAGTTTCTCCCTCAGAGTGTCTCCTTTTACAATAGTCCGTGGTGTGGTAGAAGAAACCTGGATACTCTTAAAAGTATCCCCTGAAAATGTTGCTATCCAGGCCAGCACTGATAACGTCAGAAATAGCAGCAAAAATATTTCCCACGACGCAATATCTTACAGACTGATGTGCAGAGACCCATGGCAAAGGAAAGTGCTGATAATGGCACTATCACTTATGGTTTATGAAATGTCTTCAGGACAAGACATGTCACCAATTGTCATTCAAACAGTCTTTCCAAATAGGTTACTCCTCTGGAATAAATCATGTTTTAGATTACTGTACGAAAATCATGGAAACTCCAAATTTCAGGATGTCTGTAAAAGAGTTTGAAAAGGAAGTTGTGAAATTGGTGTCAACATTGCTACAGACACATTCCCATCAATATAACGTCGTGCATTTGATACTCAATAGACAATAGCCCATAGTAAAAATGAGATGTTATCTACTCAGCACAGCTAAAATGTAAACCTTTAGCCTTAGTCTCATATGTTTCCTTTCATTTAGGGACACAGACACAATTGAAGAGGCCAGTGGTTCATGGTAATGTTACACCCCTTGTGTTCACTCACATTACAGGAAAATGGCATTGCCCAATGATTTTATGTGATTAATGCTTAGTAATGGAGGTTAAACTAACAAAGTGAAGTTCATTAATTTGAATGTTAACCTTTCTAATTTAAAACGGGTTATTAGCCTATACTACAGAAAGACAAGTGCTCTGTTTAAAACTATTATCAACAGCCAAACAGTGATCACAAATAACTCACTTGATTAAAATAAAGCTAATGCTCTGTGTACACAAAAAATATGTATTACACTGGTTAATGATTAAAATAAAACATTAAACAATATTTGATTAACAATTTTTTTGACTGTCCCCATCTTAAGAATTATGAAATAACAATTAAAATACAGGAATAACGATCAAAATGTAAACACATTTCAGAAACAGTGTTTATGAAACTGAATCAGCATTGTCATTACAAGCTTGACTGTTTTAAAAGAAGGTTGAAGACTACAGATACTACCGTGTCACTGTCGGCTCCAAACGGTGTCATAAATGTTCATCCAGGGAGTGAAACTCAAACGCGTGCAGGCTGCAGCTCTTCTCCCCAGTGTTAGCTTAATGCTAGCGACAACAGATGCAACTTTAATGAAAGTGCTGTTTAAGTTCAATATTAGCCCTGTTAAGTGTCTCGCTGTTGCTTTGGCGAAACACAACAAAGGCTTTTTTTCATGTCAAGGGTCTTGATCCTCTCCGTAACTTCACAAACAGAGCTCATTTTCTTACCTCTAAAAAGGCAGTGGCTGCTGCTCTGGCTCAGCCCCACAACATTACATGCCCACTTCCGGGTTGAGCCTTTCACAATAATAGCATCAGTAGTGCAATAATTGGTGGTTTTCAGATTCTAGATTGTGATGATGTCATACTTCTAGATGGGGGTCAAGAGACAGATTTCCCTATTAATAACATTGTACTTTTCCACTTTTCCATGACATATCCAAAATGTAAATTCACAAATGTTGAATCTGAACATTTCTATTAGTGTCTAGACACAAAAATTCATTGTATGGCAACAAAAATCTGCATTTTAACAATATTAATTTTACTAGCTTCCCATCTGTATGAAATAACATTGGTCAATAGAATGCTGTGATGTCATCTGAAACCCACCAATTTTTTTGTTTTGTTTTGTTTCATTTTGTTTATTTGGCCTTTTTGGTGGCTTTGGCCTTTTTTGTGTGTTGCCATTGCAAATCATCCACATATTTTTACCACGGATGCCCCTCTGTTACAAGACACTTTGCATAGAGTGGGTAATGAGGTGTGGGGTCTGTCTCTGTCTCATGGACACAGTACTGTGGGAAGACCGTCCATTTTCCAGGTTTTCAAACCACCAGGCCTAATTGTTAATACATCAATAAATCATTCAATAAAAAATAGCTGCCTATATGTTCCAAACTGGGGGAAAAACATATTTAGAGTAGCCTAAACTTGGCTTAGGTCCATTTTATTTGGCCAAAGCTCAGTGTTTTGTCTCATGCTGTGCTCAGTGTAGTCTGAGATTGTCCAGCTGCTCCTCGGACCAGTGTGGGACTGAGTTCTAGTAATTTCAGCAGGCGGTCACATTCAGCCTGTGGGAGCCTGTGGGACTGGCTTCTGGCCCCTTTACTTTTGAGATAGAAATTAGTTGGAGGACTTGTTGAGAATATTAATATTTATGAGAGAATATACATTTTCATGTTGAATATTAAATATTTAGTATTCAGTAATTATGAGCAGATATTTTGCTAAATTGTGTGCCTTGTAATTAAATTAAATTAATTATTAATTAATATTTTTTTTATTTATGTATTTATTTATTTAAATAATATTGTGGTAGATGGGATATAGGCCTAATATTTATTTTATATTTATTTTAATTAGGTTTCCAGGTAGTTGCAATCCAATCAGTGTCAATCAATGTTTATTTATATAGCAAATGTTGTACATTTGTACCTTTTGTATGCTGTACATAATAAATGAGTAGTAACACACCACACAAAGTAAAAACAGTAGATCAATAAATATAAAGGAATATCAGTAATAGTGAAGCAAGATACAGAGAAATATACGCTTTATGAAATCTGACATTATGCAGTGCCACATAAATAACAAAACATTTCTGATTCCCTGACAAAAGTCTGAAGGCTGTTTCACAAAGCAGGAGCCTGAAGCTGTCCTCATAAAGATAAAAATTTATATGGAGAGGCTGCACCCTATGTCCATAGGAGAGTTAGAGTTAGCATGTGATACCGGCCCACTGTATTTGCAGTTGTCAGAAACCTGTGATAGGTAAGCACATCACATTCTCAAAGACTTCACATGCAGCTGACACAAATCAGGACGATGTTTTATCTGCAAATGCACAGGAACAAAATGAATTACTTCATTTAAATGTAATTAGATAATACACTGATTTAATGCTGTTTCTTATTCCTCTACGCATCTATATGATTTTTGCAATCATACAAATTGTAAAATATTGTAGCCCCTTTTGATATTGTTTTTTTTTTTTTCTTTCTTTTTTTTTGCCAGGCATGTGCTATTTGTATTGACACTGCTACTCACAGGATTCTAAATGTAAAAGTGTGCCCTGTTTACATGATAGAGCTCCTGCGTGACTCCTCGAAGCTCAGAGACAGAGTGACTGTCCCGCTGCCCAGGCTCACTCTGGGCCTGGAGCTGGGCTCACTGTCGCGCCCATTGGTTTTGAGGCTGATGGAGGAGGAGGGAGACGGCGTGGATGACCCCCCAATGCTGTTGGACTTTTTTTGAGAAACAGCTCCATGTTTTAGGGTAGCTTTTGCTGCCACCTTAAACGCATGGGCTGCGGTCCTGCACCGGACCTCTTCAATGGTGTTTCTGGAGGGTTTGAAAAGGATGATGTAGACTTTAGTGAAGAAAATACAGACCAACAGTCCGAAGCTGGATGCCAGAATAGCAATGACCTCCACAGCCGATACAAACTTGCCGTAAGTGCTGAAGTAGGCAGGAATGAAGGAGATCCAAACTATGAAGAAGATCAGCATGCTAAATGTGATGAACTTGGCCTCTGTGAAGTTTTCAGGAAGTTTGCGTGACTTGAAGGCAAAGAAGAAGCAGATGGCAGCCAAGAAACAGGTATAACCAATGAGAAAGCCCAGAGCCATCATGGAGCCTTCGTTACAAGTGATGAAAATAATCTCATCGATGTCATGGTTTCTGTAGCTGGATGGAGGCGCATTGTACAGCCACACCACACAGATCATCACCTGGACAAAGGTGAAGAGAAACACCAGCAGAAACTGCAGGTTCAGGCCCCACCATTTCCGATGGAGGCTTGTGGGGATCTTAGCTTCAAAAACCAGAAGCACTCTGTTGGTTTTGACCAGAATGCAAGAAATACAAAGGACAAAACTGATGCCAAAGGCAGGCTGGCGTAAGCGACAGGTCCAGTCCTGAGGCTCCCCAATGAAGATGAGACTGCTAGAGAAGCAGCAGATTAGAGAGAAGAGCAGGACATAGGACAGCTCTCGATTTGTAGCCTTCACTATTGGAGTGTTTCTGTATTTGACAAACACTCCCAGGACAAAGGTTGTCAGGACGATGCCTAAAACTGCACATATAGTCAAGGCTATTCCAAAGGGCTCAGTCCAAGACAGGAACTCAATTTCCTTTAAGAAACAGAATGTATGGTTACCGGTGGACCAGGAATTATTGGGACACTTTGTGCAAACACTGGCATCTGTAAAAAGAATGTTAAAAGATAATTTCTTTATGCAACAAAACCCACTGTAAACCTGAATTATTTACTACCTCTCTGATTGCTGTACTCTCCGTCTGAGCATTCAGTGCATTCAAAGCAGCAGGTAGGCATGCTGTCAATAATGCCCTTCCTTGTGCCAGGTTCACAGTCCTCACTGCAGTTTGAAAACGGCACCTGTGACACACACAATACAGATAGATTAATATTCTTTATATTTTAATTGTTGAATTTTATGTGACTTACCTCAGAACTGTGTCCATTCCACAAAATTTTTGCCTTGTTGATGAACAATTTGGCTCCTTTTTTAGCATGCACATTGTAATAGCCCACCTCCTCAAACAGAACTGAGTTATCTTCTGCTGACCGGTGCCAGTTTATAATGGTATAGTTTGCAGCTAAGTCTGTGTTTTCATCAAAGTGCACTTTGTCCCCCACACTGTTGGTGTAATTCAGATGTCTCAGTTGTTTAAGCACCTGGCAACGGGACCCACCCTTTTAGACCATTATTTGATATATGTAAAATTTAAAACATTGGTTAACCTACCTGCCATGCTTCAATTTTCTTAATATCTGCACATGAATTATTGGCAAAAAGCCCCTGTCCAGGTGTGCAGGTGAGGATGTCCTGTAAGGCTTGTGCTATGGAGTAGACTGCCACATACACATTGTAAGAGATGCGGAGGTGAGTGAAGTCCAAGTATGGCGTCTCCACATGTGTGATGTCCTCGTCCCCAGTGCACAGAGGCCTAAAGCTGGTGCTGTCATTGTCACTCTCCTGCAGTCTGGGGCTGTCCTCCAGGTAACAGTTAAACGTCTCCTCCCAGAACTCCCTCACAAACTCATTGTGACTGTCCTTCCTTGGTTGCACATGTTGTAAGAATTCTTTGAATCCTGGAATGGCCCCTGCTTTCAGGACAAATCCAATAGTTCCTGCTACTACATTTAGGTACTCCTGTTTTGCGATGAGAGAGGAGCTCGCCCATGCCTCACTGGCCAACCAAATCCTGTCTGTAATGTTCCTTCTCACCATTTCTTTAATTAAAGGTTCAATGTCTGGCCCACTGGCAAATACAACAATCACTTTAGCTGTGGAGTTCTCTATCCTGTCCGCCAGAGCTTTGATCTCATGTTCCTCAAAATACTGTGATATGAGTTCGTTCAGGTGTATGCAGATGTCCCTCTCCTCCATCTCCTTCTCAAACTTCTCAATGCCCGGGCGTCCATAGTCATCATCTGAGGCCACAGCAATGACCCAGTTCCAGTCAAAATGCTCGATGATGTCAGCCATGGCTGTGGCCTGGTACTCGTCATTGGGAATGGTACGCATGAAAGACTTGTACTGGTTCTTGTTACTCAACAAACGGCTGGAGGAGGCATAACTGATCTGTAATAGAGCATCCAAAATAAGTTATTCTGCTAGATGATTATGAATTTTTAAGTTGATGAAATCTATGTTTCATGTTTGTAAAAGCTGAATAGTAAGAAATGCAATAAGTTATGGTCACTAGAATACTGGAAAATGTTATACTTTAATTATGGTCTATAATATATAGTTTTTCTTTCTAAATAGTGTCTCACCTGGGGAATATAAAACAGGCCTAGAAGGTTGGCAACTGCAGTGGAAACAGCTGACCCTGCCGCTCCCACTACTGCAATGGTCGATGGTATGTGGTCTGTACAGTTACAGAATTCATCTAGATTGAGGGAGTCGATCTTGTTCTGCGCTACAAAGCTTAAAGTTGCCTCCAAAGCTTTAGACACTGTGTTGCAAGTATCAAAGATTCTGTATCCCAGTGTGATGTTGGGCAGTAGGGTGCTACTGTTGTTTATCTCTTCAATCGCAAAAATCATGGCCTGGAGCCAGCGGAAACCCCGGAAATTAAACCTGTGACAACAACCAGTCATGAACCATATTCTGACCTTTTGTTATATAAGAACATTTCATATTACCTGACACATTGTGTAGACTGGGGCCGAGCTGCTAGGTCTTGGTCTTTGGATGTGACCCCAAAATGTATTGGGAATAGTCCACCAAGGAGAATGTCCCCTGTCATCTGAGCTCTTTGATGTGGTCCATATGTTGAAATGACACAAGTGGAACTCAGCAGTGTCAGAAAGTACAGGACCAGTCTCATCTTTGTGCTCTTTCTCCTTTACAACTCAGTATTACTCTTAACAAGCTGCTCCGCCATTAACTTTCCTCCTGTGTCCTGCTGATCATGTTAGCATTATAACCTCAGACACTGCAAAGAAATGAAATAACAATACTATTTTATTATTAGTTTTTCATTTTCTATAAAGTCTCTTAAATCCAAGACCTACTTATATAACTTTCTGGAGGTGACACATTACCAGCATGATGAAATAGAAAGTTAATAGCTTCCATAGAGATAGGTTTTATGCCATACTGTGGAAAATTATAGCCAAAGGAACAACATTTCCATGGAGACAAGCAGGAGGAGGCCCTCCTTCAGGCCAAATAAGAGTCATTCTTTAGATAGAAGCCCACTAACATTATGGACACATGTTGCTGTTTTTCAGTCACATATTTTCAGTGCAATAGGAACAACCAAAGTAAAAACAATTAGACTATAGACTATTTTTTTGGATAAAGTGACACACTATGGCTTTAAAGGTGTGGTACATTTATGTGATATTGTGCTGCCCATGTTCTTGTGAACAGAAATAGTGAAAGGTGAAGTCACAGTCTACTGAGCCTCTTCCTGCTTGGGTCTGGTCCCATGCTGTGGCCAGTCAACCTCGTCTCCATGGTGAAAGCCACTGCAGCCGTGCACTGAATCTGAACAGTGCTAATGATATTAGGCAGTACTATTGTAAAGTATGGGCCACATATAATAGCAATAAAATTGGAATTTTTAAATTAAGTAAAATTATTTACTAGTGTTATAAAGTGTAACAATATTTAACACAGTAAGACCAAATCATGTGTAAATTCACTAGGTAAATTCTTACTGATCCAAGGAAGAATGACAAGTGACTGAAATAAATTAACCCAATTTTAGATCATGCCTATGAAAAACAACAGCAACAAACAAATTATATTCAAGAGAACAAAAACACTTACGTTTTAAAAAAAGTTTGTCACATCCAAGTTTTAGGTTTTTCCCCAAATATCCCCGTGGCTAAATGTACTGGACAAGTGAGTGTGAGTGCCTGAGTTTGTATGTGTGGATCAATTATTAACCGAAAAGGGGAGGGAAATTTACCTCTGCTAATGAAGCAAAGGCCTCAATCACACAATATTTAGAATTGACTAGTTTTATATCTGTGCACGCAATACACATGTTTTGTTGAGTGATGTTGCTCAAATTGTTGCTGATTTCAGATGTTCTCCTGTACCTTTAGTGAGTTTAATGCCGCAAAGTCTTGGAAGCAGTGGATCGCACCTTTATGTTCATCAAATAGAGATGTGTCTTCTTCTGCTCTGTTGAACCATGATTCAGTTGGTTGCTGAGCAGAAGACAGTGGACACAACAATTGCAGTTTACAATATGCTTACCTATGTAGGTCCCGTTTTAAAGTTACAAGTGTAATTTATTTTAATACAGACAGAGCATTTCACCAATTCTCAAGAATATGATGGAAATTACCTTTGAGAGCAAATATGTTTAGAGATGTTTTTAAGGGACAATATGAATTAGATAAAGCCATTTCTATTTCAAACATGAATTACACCTTGACAAAAAATAGTAGGTGTAAAAGTAGAGGTATGCTGTCCAAATTATTATTTTGTAAAGAAAAGTCAATAGGTTATAACCAAAGGCAATTCAAAGAAGCCAGAGCAATGATAAAAATTTAATGCATCCAAAGGTTAGGTCAAATTATCACATATCTTTCTCAAAAACATTTTGAACAAATCACTTAACTGTGTCCTTGCTCACTATACCCAAAATGCCTCTTGCTACAAATCATTCAAATCGTAACCTTTTTCAAGACTAACACACACCTCCAAAATGTAACATAATGTGTAAAAAATGTTGGGCTGAGTCGTCTTCTCAGTGAATGCATGTGTCCTGACAAAGAGCAAGGTTGAGGAAGGATCAAAACGCATTTCTACATTCAAAAGGTAAGGGTTGCTCATCAAGTTAATTTTAATAGTTATGCTTGACTTTGATATAAAATTGTATAGGCCTTGTCATCATGTTTTAGAGTGACAAATATTTTTGGATATCATATCTGAAAATACTGACTATTATATATTCTATATTTTAACTTTATAACATTTGTGTAATATTCATTATGCACATTACGTGTTCTTTTTTATCTTGTTTTTTCAAATGCTCCCACACAAGAACAGCAGTTTGGCACAAAGCATATTTTATATTTAATCAGTGCTCTATACTTGGTCTCAATTCTACCCATGGATTTCAAAATGGAAAAATATGGCCTTTGCCATAGTGATGAACAATTTAAAACAAAATGTTATATCCTTTACCTGGGAGAAAGTCATGAAATCCATGAAATACCATAAATCTGTGAATAAACATATTTGTATGGTCATGATCAGGTTAAACTGGCTAGTTTTATAATCATATCTTCTCTTGCTTTGTACAGGATGTCTGGTGCAAAGCTTTTGTCATTCCTCCAAAGCCTGTCTCGTAGGAAACCTCTGGAGCCCGAAGGAGAAGTGTCCAATTTTAAGCGCTGTTTGACCACTCTGGACCTGGTGGCTCTCGGTGTGGGCAGCACTTTGGGGGCTGGCGTCTACGTCCTGTCTGGAGAAGTGGCTCGTACTGTGGCTGGTCCTAGCATCATCATCTCCTTTCTCATTGCAGCCATAGCATCCGTATTTGCTGGACTTTGCTACGCTGAATTTGGAGCTCGGGTTCCCAAGACCGGCTCCGCTTATCTGTACAGCTACGTGACAGTGGGGGAAATATGGGCCTTTATAACAGGCTGGAATCTACTCTTGTCATATGTTATTGGTAAAGCATATAGAGCATATAATGCATGTTTACATTAAATAATGATACACCTGGGTACATTTATATTGGTATTGTGTCATATTTAGGGACTTCCAGCGTAGCCAGAGCTTGGAGTGGGACCTTTGATGACCTGATTGGAAAAGTTATTGCCAATTCTCTTGGGAAACATGCTGCTATAAATTTACCAGGATTAGCACCCTACCCAGACTTCTTTGCTGCGGCCCTCATTATGCTTCTGGCAGGTAAAATACTACTTCATATTAGACAGAGTTAATTAATGTCTTAAACCATAATGCACCCTGTTTTTTCTATAGGAATCCTTGCCTTTGGTGTCAAGGAGTCGGCCATTGTTAATAAGATTTTTACAGCAGTGAATGTACTGGTGTTGTTGTTTGTGATCCTTTCTGGATTCATTAAAGGAGATATTAACAACTGGTACATTGGGGAAGAGGTGCTGAATGAATACAGGTTTGTGCTCAGATATAACTGAAAAACTCAGTGTTGTTAAACTTGTTTTTCAATTGACAAAAATACTCTTTTTATAGACAAAACATATCTTTCAATGTTACCACAAGCTATGGGTCTGGGGGCTTTTTCCCATTTGGATTAGAAGGGACATTAGCTGGAGCAGCCACTTGTTTCTATGCATTTGTGGGATTTGACTGTATAGCGACGACAGGTAAATTGTCACTGGCTGTGTTATGTCAATATCTTAAAATGTTAATGATTTAATTTTTTTTTAAGGAGAGGAAGTGCAAAACCCTCAGAAGTCCATCCCGTTGGGCATCGTGTCCTCTCTACTTATTTGTTTCTTGGCATATTTTGGCGTGTCTGCTGCCCTTACTCTGATGATGCCATACTTTTTACTCAGTGTTCACAGTCCTTTACCTGTTGCCTTCACGTTCATTGGCTGGGGCCCTGCTAAATATGCTGTGGCAGTGGGATCTCTCTGTGCACTCTCAACAAGGTACACACTCTTTAAACCAGAAAATATTTGAAAAGAGTTCACTCTAACCCTAACCTTTTTTCCTAGTAGCAGCAGTCGGCAGAATAACCAAAAATATCAGGCACCATTATTTCAGGATAAATGTAAAATAGAGGAAAAACAGATATTTTGAACACAAAACTGTGATATGCTGCACAGTTAGATGAGTAGCTAAATATTACTCAAGTAAAAGTATTCATTCTTCAAATGATTTTTGACGAATGGAATGGATTACTATTACTTCTAGAAGTACACAAGATGTAAGTAAGATGTGAGTAACTCTTTACCCACCTCTGCCTAACAGCCTCTTGGGGTCTATGTTCCCCATGCCTCGAGTGCTTTTTGCAATGGCCAGGGATGGACTTCTTTTTAAGCCCCTCAGTAAAATGAGTGACAGACAAAGTCCTGTTATAGCGACATTGGCCTCAGGGATTGTTGCAGGTAATGCAGGTAGTTTCTCTGCCTTTACTTCTTTTGAACATTATTACCAGTATTCTGCTGTTGTGTCTTTGCAGCCATCATGGCATTGTTGTTTGACCTGAAAGCTCTGGTTGACATGATGTCTATCGGGACTCTATTTGCTTACACTCTTGTGGCAATATGTATCCTCAAACTAAGGTACACCATGAGCCTACTGCATTATCCTAAAAGATTCAGGCTGTAGTGAAGATTGTTTGCATATGTAATTTCTACCGCACTCTATTCAGATACCAGCCAGATGAAAGTGATGACTCAACTTCAAACAAACCAGAGCCATTGACAGTACATGGGCTGCTCTGTCCTCCTCTGCAACCCACAGCACGGACATCTAAAAATGTTTCAGTTTCTGCTGTTTTCATCAGTAGGTCTTCAATTATTTTGTTTTGTTCCATGTGCATGAATAGGCTCCTATAATTTTGACTTAAATCCCATGTATCCCAGTCTTTTTAGTAATCAGTCTAAGCCTCTTCATATCTGGTGGTATTGAGGCTCTGCATGCTCACCAGTGGTGGATTCTTCTATGTGTATCTGTGAATGTATTGATGCTTTTTGTTATCATACTCATCATCTGGAGACAGCCTCAGAGCCAGACCAAAGCTGCATTCATGGTATGCTTTGATTCTAACTATAGACCTTATATACGACTGTATTTTTTATAGTCTATGGTTCTAACACACATTGAGTTATGATGTAACATTTATGTATTGTATCTTTATGTGCAGGT